TTATTTATTTGACAGAGAGAGACACAGCGAGAGAGGGAACACAAGTAGGGGGAGTGGGAGAGGGAGAAGCAGGCTTCCCGCAGAGCAGGGAGCTCGATGCGGGGCTCGATCCCAGGACCCTGGGATCATGACCTGAGCCGAAGGCAGACGCTTAACCGACTGAGCCACCCAGGCGCCCCTGGGTCCTTGAATTTTGACAAAAACATTCATACAGTCATGTAATCACCACCACAGTCAAGATGCAGAATAGTTCATTCACCCCCAAATATTCCTTCATGTCTGTATAATTTTCACCCCCTATCTCCTGGCCCTGGCAGCCAGTGATCTATTGTCTATCCCAGTAGTTTTGCCTTTTCCGGAATGTCACATAAATGAAATCATACAATGGGTAGTATTTTGAGCCTCTTTTGCTATCATTTTTACTCTGGTTGCAATCAAGTGAAAGTCAGTTGGCTTGAGAACATGAGCTGTGTTCAGAGACAACTTTTAGGTTAACCAGCATGGGAGAGGTTGCTAGCCTGGGTAAAGGTGTTACAGTGAGAGCATCCCAAGAGTGGAGGTGGTCTCTCCACCAGCTGCCACTGTTCCTTCCTCTATGCCCTGTGCAGCTTCCTGTCCTGGCCACTGGATCAAAACACCTTCCTCCAGGCTCATCTACGCCTCCGCAGTGCCACTACTATGAAGGACTTTCATCCTCATTCTCAACTTGTAAGCTTATTTGGCACCATTGACTATAGACCCTTGGAAGCACTTTCAAAAAATTCTTAATTTAAAAAATGCATATTCATTGTAGACAATTAAGAATATACAATTCTGCAATCCAGAAAGAAATAGTCTTAACATTCTTGTGCATAGATTATCAGGCATGTGTGATACATACTTTCTCATACTCTATTAAGATCGTACTATTTTTATGGGACACCTGGGTGGCTCACTCGATTGAGTATCCAGCTCTTGATCTCAGCTCAGGTCTTGATCTCAGGGATGTGAGTTCAAGCCCTGTGCCCACCGTGGAGCCTACTTAAAAAAAAAAAAAAAAAGTTGATACTATTTTGTAACTTTCTTCTTACTTCATAACATGTTAGCCAGCATTTTTGGAAACTCTTGACATCTATGACAACATGCTTTCAGTATCTTTATCTTGATCGACATATTTTCTCCCCTTATTTCCTGTGAGTGGTTCTCAAGTCATAGTCCTTATAAATCTCACTTCCTCTGAGAGTAACCATTCTAAGACATCCAGGTATTATCTTTGTGTTGATGGCTTATTTGGACTTCATGCGACAAATACTGATTGCATACCTGCTGTGTGCTAGGTATAACAGGCCTGGTTCGAGTGATTCAGAAGAGAATAAGACAGGTGTGACTGCTCCCCTCGTGGAGCCTTCACTCTGAGGCAGGAGACAGGCATGTAAACAGTCAATTACAAGTGCAGTGGCAGGGGAAGTCCAAAGTACTGAGCGGGATCGAAGGAGCCCACACCCAGGGAAGGTGTTTGTAGAGGAAGTGACCTCCTAAAGGATAATGAAAAGGTAGACAAGTAATGAGGGGAGGGGACAACAGAGGATATAGCGTGTGCAAAAATTATCTCTGGACTCTGGCAGGAGTGTAAATTTTTAGTGATTGGGAACTACATTCTACCAAAATACTTCTAAAGTGATTCTAAAGCAATTAGAAGCATGTACGTCTTAGACTTTGGAAGCCTCTTCAAGAGTAAAAGTTATGTGTCACTAGAATCAAAGTATATTCCTCATTTTGAGGGTTCTTGGAAGAATTTGAGTGAATACATAAGAGTAACCTTTCGTCCCACAGAAGTAAAATTCCAGCATCTTTTTCCTGGAGTAAGGAATCTTGGAAGAAGGTGATTTAAAAAATGAGTTTGGGGTTTCATGGCCTGTTGCCCCTTAATATTTTAAATGACAAAGCTGCTTAAAGCTATGAAGACCATGAGTCAGGAGATGTGAGGAGAGTTGATTATTTATGTAAAACGGCCCTGCCAGCAGTCTTGAAACCATGGGTCAAGGGTGTCCCCAACCCTCAGGGTTCATGTGTCAACTCAGTGCCCTAGCTGTTTGCAGAACGGAGGGGGGAAGATCATCTGATCCTCTCAGTTGGTCATAGCATTTTCAAATACTCCCTAGTTATCTGGTTTCATGTACTTGTTACCCACCCTGGGAAGTGTGGGTCTTAAGTCACACTTGGTTGCTAGCACAAATTCTTTTGGATCATAACAAGTATTATTAAATAAGGTTCAGATTTGTTTATTTTCAAGTTAACCTTTCAGATTTTAAAGATCAGCCTAATTTTTTTCAGATAAGAGTAACTTTTTGAAAATTCAGAAATGTTTAAATACGAAATTAAAACTCATCCCAAATCCCACACGGAGATAAGAATCTAGCTACTTCTGTCTCTCCTAGTTACGGAGCAACATCCCCTGTCACCTGGCTGATATCTCTTGCGGATTACCCTGCAGTGCCACGCTACCGTGTGGGATGCACAAGTGTCAGAGACTCTGTCACAAAGGAGAGTGTCTTGTGGATGAGGCCTGCAAGCAGCCCTGCACCACCCCCAGAGCTGACTGTGGCCACCCGTGTATGGCCCCCTGCCACCCCAGCTCACCCTGCCCCATGACTGCTTGTAAAGCCAAGGTGCGTATTCCTGACTCCAGATAGGGCATTGACTGTGGTTCTGGGGCTACTCAGGAGTCCGGAACTGCTTGTAGAAGTGCCTGGGCACACATTCTAATCAGAAGTCATTGGTTGCAAGGAAGTGCAAGTTAAATTAGCAAGAGAAAGGTGGAGTATTACACAGATTTCTGTCTGCCCAGTTTGAAATGGCCTTTTAGTTCAGGAGGTGCCCACTGCCACCTGACAACAGTCTCTGTCTCTCTCCCTTAGAGCAGATTCTCAAGAGAGACTCCGATTGCCTGCTCCATTTATTCAACAAATATATAAGTGTTTTGTGCAGGATGTTTTGCTAGGTGCTGGGGCTATACCAGTGAGCAGGAGACACAAAGTCCTTTCAGTTAGATGGGACAGATAATACTCAGATAATGAATTATGACTGTGGTGAACAAGAAGTTACACCCTTGTAGAGGGTGCTGTGAGGGCATGTGAGTGGGCAACTTAGCCTGGTCCAAGGGATCTAAGCAAGGCCTCCCTGAGGAGATGAAAGCAGACTGATGAGGTGGACTTGATTAGGCTTTGGGTGGTCTTGGCCAGGTTCAGTGGTAAAAACTTCATTCTAGGCCTGCCCCTTCAGGTAGGGTTAAGGACAGGAGTAGTTCCCAGAAAGAGTCACTGTAGAGTGAACAGTTCTCCTAGTGTGTCCACTACCACATTGTCAGTTTGTGTGCATGCTTAGCTTCCTCCATCCTGAAGGGTAGCCACTCACTGGCTGTATTCTCTGCCATGGTTGGATTTGAGAGAGGCTTTAAAAGTGAAACCTGCCTGTTCACATGGTTTCCATGTGCTGCTAAAAGTCCCTCCATGTTAATCTTATTTCAGATAGAGCTGCAGTGTGAATGTGGACGAAGAAAAGAGATGATGATTTGCTCCGAAGCATCCAGTACTTATCAAAGGTTAGTGCTACTTAAATGTTAACAGTGGTGGATCTCAGTCTATGGAAGGTGCACATGTGTATACGTGTGTTTATTGTCAAATCCTTGCAACTTTTGTCAAGTTTGGAAAGTTTTTTCTTTTTTTTAGAAAAAGCTTGTGCAGGGGCACCTGGGTAGCTCAGTCGGTTAAGCGTTTGGTTTCAGCTCCGGTCATGATTTTGTGGTCACGGGATAGAGCCCTGAGTCAGGCTATGCACTCAGTGTGGAGTCTGCTTCAGATTCCCTCTCCCTCCTGCTTGTGCGCTTGCTCTCTCTCTCTCAGATGAATAAATAGATATTTTTAAAAAAAGAAAAGAGTGTGCACAAGCTGGGGGTGGTGGGAGGGGTGGAGGGAGAGAAAATCTTAAGCATACTCCCCTGCTGAGCGTGGAGCCCGACGCAGGGCTCAATCCCATGACCCTGAGATCATGCGACCTGAGCCAAAATCAAGAATCAGACTTAACCGACTGAGCCACCCAGGTGCCCCCTGGAAAGTTTTTTTAAAATAAGATTTCCTAAAAAAAACAAAAAATAAATAAATAAATTTTCCAGAATCTAGTTTTTCTGATTCAAAGAAAAAGTACTGCTTTGTGTCCCTTTCCTTCCCTAACTTTCATTTGTAAAATAACCTTTTTATTTTTCCTCCTCTTTCTTTCTCTCTCTCCTTTCTGGTCTTATGACACCAAGGGATCAGAAGGGATGATGTCCTGAAGTTGCATGAATTGCTTTAACGTCCCACCACTTGTGGTGGCACAACCAGGGCCAAGTCCTGTGCTCCTCCTCTGTAGTGGGGGTTTCTGACTGTTCTCTGAATTGTTTTTGCGGCCTCCTGAAATCCTGGGACTGGGTAGCCAGAAAGGGATCTCAGTAAGGAGAAGCTGTTAGGGATGGATGGTTGTGTTGGTCTCTGATTACATGCAGAGATGTGTCATGGAGATACAGTTTTTGGAGTACGAAGACATCAGAGTGGCTTTGACATCAGTGGGTTTGACTGTTTACTGAATGCCAGGCATAGGCCTGGATATTTAAGGGGGATTGAATAGACTATCTCATTGCTTCTACTGGAGCTGCTTAGAATCTATTTGAGGATATATGACATAAACGTATGGGTAGTTCATAGTAGGTGGGTTTCTGAGGCCCACAATTGTCCAGTGGTAGGTTCAGTTTGAAAGAAGTTTTCTGTATACCTAGTATTAGGACATTCTTAGGAAACTTCAATGCCTTTTCTTCCCTTTCTTTTTTATACTTCAGAATAGCTGCTATTTCCATAGCCTCTAAAATAACAGACATGCAGCTTGGAGATTCAGTGGAAATCAGCAAATTAATTACTAAGAAGGAAATTCACCAAGCCAGGTAATTTTTAAAATGTATGTCTTCTGTTAGAATTAATTTCCAGAGGGCAGGAACCATTCATTTGTCTCAATCTCCCAGAGCAAAGCCTTGCACACACAGTAGATGTTCCAACAGACATTTGATGTTAAGAGACTACCCTCACTCCAATCCCACGAATCTTACTCAGGATATAGCTATGACCAGAGGAGACTTTTCCAGGCCTCTCTTCAGACAGTAGCCAGAGGGAGCAGAGACCTAGGTGTGTCCAGCCCAACCCACAAAGAACCATCTGTGTCAAGAGAGGGGGGTGGGGCTGTCAGAAGGTCATTAGGACATTGGGACATTGGGGACACTTTGAGGCCCTTCTGAGGACTCCTAGATTTGATTCCCATAACCCAGAGACCCACCCACCTGTCCTTGAGAGGGACCTCATGCAACCCTGTTTTGGCCAGAGTCTGCTCTGTTTCCAGGTTGACAAAGAACTTATTGCTGGGTAGGAGCTATGAAAATCTGTGCCCTGACTTTATCTTTTTCATTTGTTTCTCAAGGCTGGAGTGTGATGAGGAGTGTTTAGCCTTGGAAAGGAAAAAGTAAGTCATTTCAACTGCTTTTTATCTACTTGTTCTTGAGCTCTGTGAAATTAATAGGAGGGAGCAACCTTTCAAGCATTCATTCAGCACCTGCTCTGAGTCTTTTGCTGCTATTGGAGATCAAGAGAAATTCGATCATCAGGAATTGAAATATCTAAGGATAAACCACTTAGGTGATTTCAGCATATTTCTGAAACATGAGCTTGTTGGTTTGGGGCATGGTATAACATTACATGTCACAGCATACTTATTCACTGACTGGCAGACTTCCTGATTCCAATGGAGATAAGAAGCTAAAAATTTTTTTAATGACCTTTATGTTGAAGTATAACGTACATATAGAAAGTTCAGAAGTGTACAGAAATCATCACAAAGTAAATACAGTGGTGTAATCAGCACCCAGGTCAAGAAATAGAAAATTTCCAGAACACTTTCGTACACAGGTAAAATGTATCTTTTGTATAAAGATAAAATGTCTATCCTGACTTCTAACACTTTAGATTAGTGTTGTCTGTTTTGAACTTTATATAAATGATGAAATCTTATAGTTGGTATTATTTTTGTCTGGCTTCTTTAATTACATTTGTGATATTCCTCTTGTTGCATGTAGCAATACTTTGTTCATTTGCATTCCTCCATGATATTTTACTATGTTAAGATATTATAATTTATTTATCATTCTACCATTAATAGGTATGTGTGTGGTTATCAGTATTGGGCTATTACAAATAATGCTCTGTTAAGAACATCCGTATATTCCCTTTGCTGTATATACATACTCATTTCTGTTAGTTACAAACTTAGGAGTAGAATTACCGATTAATAGGGTATTCATATGTTCAGCTTTAGTCAGCTCTATGCAGTGGTATCCAAAATGGTTGTATCATATTATACTCCCACCAGCAGGGTAATAGTTTCCATTGCTCTACACTTATATTAGCTCTTAGAATTGTTGGTCTTTTAAATTTTAATCTATTGTGAATGTATATCTGGATGTCATTGAACTTTTAGTTTATATATCCCTGATGACTAGTGAGGTTGAATACTTTTTTATATGTTTATTGGCAATTTGGATATCCCTTTTTGTGAAGTGCGTGTTCAACTTTTTTGCTTATTTTGTAATTGTGTTGTCTTTTTTATATTGATTAGTAGGAGTTTTTTATATATTTTGGACATGAATCCTTTGTTGGTTTTATATATTGTATTTTCCTGTACTTCGTGCTTTCAGTTTTCACTCTCTTAATGGTATCTTTTGATAAGCAGAAGTTTCTAATTTTAATGTAGTCCAGTTTATCAATCTTTTCCTTAGTGACTAATGTTTTTTATGTCCTGTTTAAGGAGTATTTGTCTATCCTGAGGTCATGATTATACTCTTATTGTCTAGAAGCTGTATCGTTTTACCTGTCATGTTTAGATCTACAGTTGACTGGACTGATTTTTTTTTTAAGATTTATTTATTTATTTGACAGAGAGAGCACAAGAAGGTAGAGCAGCAGGCAGAGGGACAGAGGGAGAAGCAGACTCCCTGCTGAGCAGGGAGCCCAACATGGGGCTCGATCCCCGGACCCTGGGATCATGACCTGAGCCAAAGGCAGACGCTTAACCGACTGAGCCACCCAGGCGCCCCTGGACTGATTTTTTTGAGCATAGTTTAAGGAGAGTTCACAGTTCAGTTTTTTCCATGTGAATATCCATGTGGCCAGTACTGTTACCAAGATGTTCTTTTCCCAGTCTTTCCAGTGCCATTTGTCTTAAATCAAGTATTCATATTATGTGTGAATCTATTGCTGAGTTCCTTCTCTTCCATCACACTAGTGTCACACTCTCTTAATTGTGGTATCTTTATAACAATAAAGGTGTTTTGTTTTGTTTTTTTTAAGATTTTATTTATTTCTTTGACAGAGAGAGAGCGAGAGAGGGAACCACAAGCAGGGGGAGTGGGAGAAGGAGAAGCAGGCTTCCCGCTGAGCAGGGAGCCCAATGTGTGGCTTGATCCCAGGACCCTAGCATCATGACCTAACCCGAAGGCAGACACTTAACGGCTGAGCCACCCAGGTGCCCCACAGTAAAGGTCCTAATATCTGATAGTATATCTCTTCAAGCATGGTTCTTCAAGATTAACTTGGCTATTCTTGGGCATTTGCATTTCATTTAAACTTTATAGAGTGAGCTTATCAATATCTGCCAAAAAACTTACTAAGATTTTTACTGAATTGGTATTTAATTTATAGATCAGTTGGGGGAGATTTGACGTTTTTATATTAAGTCTCTTAATCCATGAGCAAAGTATATCCTTCCATTTATTCCTGTCTTCTTTGATTTCTCTCAGTAATACTTTATAGTTTTCTGTGTACAGATTTTGCACATCTTTCAGTAGACTTGTTCCTTGCTTTTGGTGTTTTTTGACACCTTTTTAAATGGTAATTTTTCTTGTATCACTTTTTTTTTTTTTTTTTTTGCTCTACCCCTTCTCCTCTCCCTTCCTCTATCACTTTTAAATTTTAATTTTCTAAAAAAAAATAATTTTCTAATTGCCTATTGCTGGTGTACAGAAATAGAATTGATATTTGTTGACCTGTATTCACTTGCTAAATTCACTTACTGTTTCATGCCCTCTTCCAATAATAGTAGTTTTATTTCTTTACAGTTCTTAACTTTTTCTTTTTCTTGCCTTATTGCACTGGCTAGAGCCTCCAGTACAGTGTTGAATAGAAGGTGGTAATAATAGACATTCCTGACATCAGGCAGCTTTGAATATCTCACCACTAAATATGATGTTTTCTGTTAGTTATTTGAGGATACTCTTTATTAGATTAAGGGGCATTTATTCAGTGACCAGCAGACTTCCTGGTTCTAACAGAGATTGATAAAAAGGTATAGCCCTCTAAATGTTAACAATTGGAGAATTTCGGTGAACTGGTGTATACAGACAGTCCCCAACTTACAGTGTGATTAACTTACAATTTTTCAAATTCACAATGGTACAAAAGCAGTACACATTTAGTAGAAACCATACCTCAAATTTTGATCTTCTCTCAGGCTAGCAATATTCAGTATAATGATCTCTTATGATACTGGGCAGCGACAGCAAACTGCAGCTCCCAGTCAGCCATGCAATCACAAGGGTAAACAACCCATACACTTAGAACCATTCTGTACCCATACAGCCATTCTGTTTTTCACTTTCAGTACACTGTTCAGTAAATTACATGAGATGTTCAACACTTAATTATAAAATAGACTTTGTGGAGTGCCTGGGTGGCTCAGTCGGTTGAGTGTCCAACTCTTGGTTTCAGCTCAGGTCATGATCTCAGGGTCATGGGGTCGAGCCTCATGTCAGGCTCTGCACTCAGTGGGGAATCTGCTTGAGATTCTCTCCCTCTCCCTCTACCCCTTCCCCCAATCTTGCGTGTGCGTGCATGCACACACACACTCTCTCAAATAAATAAATAAAATCTTAAAAAATAAAATGGGCTTTATATAAGATGATTTTACCCAACTGTAACCTAAGGTAAGTGTTCTGAGCACATTTAAGGTAGGTTAAATGTATTAAATGCATTTTTTACTTACAATATTTTGAATTTACAGTGGTTTTATCATTATAAAATGATACTTTGTCACTTTGAAAATTTCTCAAGTTAAATAGCTAGACAAATGCAGCCAAAGTATAGTCCTATTTTATCTTGAAATTTGATTTTCCACTATTATTAACAGTACCTCTTTAAGTGGCTAAATGTGTAGGAGGTATATAATAAATAATAGCACTGCCCAAATTTCCCTTGGTAACTCTATAATAACTGCTGTTCAAAACTCTTGACCTTTAAGAACCATCAGTCACAATGTTCTCAGCTGCAAAATGTGAACTGAGTTATGAGTATTCAGAAATGCTGTAGTGAATACACAGAAGGCCTCTAAAGCATGGAAATGCACCTTTGTGTAGTTGAGAGACAGTATTATATAGTAGACTAGAGTCAGTTTGCCTGGATTTGAATCCTGCCTTCACAAATCACTTAGCTATGTGACCTTCGGTAAGTCATGTATTCTTTTAAAGCTTTAATTTTCTTAAAATCTGTGGAAACAGTGACAATATGTACCTCCCACAGTTGTTGTGAGGATTCAAATAGTTATTAGTTATCCTCAGTAAATTTAGTTATTGATTCGAACTGGCTCTCTTGGGGCGCCTGGGTGGCTCAGTCAGTTAAGCCTCTGCTTTCAGCTCAGGTCATGATCCCAGGGTCCTGGGATCAAGCCCTGCATCGGGCTCCCTGCTTGGCAGGGAGCCTGCCTCTCCCCGACTTGTGCTCTCTCTCTCTCTCAAATAAATAAAATCTTAAGAAGAAGAAGAACTAACTGGCTCTCTGTTTTTGAAGGCCTTTTGAATTTCTCTTCCATCTTAGAGTGATAACCTATGATGGTCCTCACTATATAGAGATTCTTTCTTAAATACCCACTGACCTAGGGGGGAAAAAA